CTTTATTTTAGTATTAGTAGGGCATTTTTTAGTCTCCATTTAAAATATTCTACCTCTCAAAAAGATGTTATGATCTAGTGTAATAATGATGAAAGTATCCACATTTGCCAATCAACCACATAACAGCATATCCTGTCTCTTATACACATCTAGATGTGTATAAGAGACAGATACATAGCACAGTACACATTTTAAAAGAACACTAAGGCTGACGTTAGAAAATTAAGAACAAAATTGAGGCTGAGGTAAAATGTTAATTGAGGTTATTATTTAAAAAAAAAAATAAAAAAACCAAAAAATCTTTCTTGTAGTTTTATTTGTAGTATGTGTGACTATGTAATACCCTCTATAAGACAATGCAGAGTTATATGCTACTGTAAAATAATAATTTTTTGTGTTTGAAATGTGTGTAAAAACAAGAACAAAATAAGAACATTTTGTGCCTGAAATTGTAAAAAAAAAATAAGAACTATTGGCAAAAAATTTACTGGTTAAAAAAAAAAAAGATGAAAAGTGTAATGCACTTTGCATTGCATGCTGGTTAGTAAGTACATAAAATAATTAGAATCTCAGATTATATGACTAACTAAACAAAAAAGAATCAAAATTATTGGTTTTAAATATGGTAAAAAAAATAGGAAAGTAGAGCAACTTGTATGACTGTACAATAATGTCAACCATACAATCCCCTTAGGCCGTTCCTTACAAAACACATGTACAGGAGAGGACCCTGCTAGGCTAGTGACCTACAAGTCAATTGCAAGGTGACTCTCCAGCCCTGATTACTACCAGTCAGTGGTCACAAGTGGCTGTACAACATGCCTGGAAACTCAGTAACTTGCCCTGGGGGTAAATTATTCAGCCTATGAAATTATGTTCATGGCGAGTATCAATATTGACAATTTGGCCATTGATACTCCAGGCTGTATGGTGGGTATTCTTAACTGAAAAACAATCAAACGCTCTGGTGTTTGAGCACAGTAGTTTACAGACTGACCTCAGTAGCCGTCCTTGCCTGTATTTTCAAATATGAACTTTGAAGTACTTTTAAGCTAAAAAAATCTGTTCTTTGAATACATTTAAAAATAAATTCTTACATTTTCAAAAACCCTTCAATTTTACAATGCTTATTAAAATGTACACAGTAAATCTCATAAATTATCATTTTATATCAGCATAAAACTATTTGAGTGTTTTATATTCCTATATACAAAATAATTAGTGAAAGACAGAATAGAAATTCAAATTAATAACAACTACCATACTTGTTGTGAGATTAATTAAGGATCAACTAATTAGAACTTAAAGTGGATCTTGCTAAGCTACCTGACTCTGGTGAGCCAGGTATATGGCAAACTTCATTATCTTTGGTTTTCAGTACTGAATCCTCTCCAAGAATCTTACAAAGCTCATTCAATCGCTGCTGCATCCTGGGGATTCCTGCCAACTGCACCTCCAGTTTTTGCTTCTCTTCATTCAGACTAAGTCTTGTGGTAGTGTCAAGCTGTTCCACTCTCCATCCACCCTCTCCATCAAACTGTAGCAAGTGTGAATGATATTTCCTGAAAAAGAAATGAAAAATATTAGTTCATACCATTTAAACCATACTTTCATAATATATTTAATTCTTTCCTTTTTCTTCTAAATATAAAAAAAAAAAAATCCAAATTTTTTGCTAAATGATAATGATAATTCAACTTTTTGGGTCAATACTACGTATTTTTTATGTTTGTGATTTCACGCAAAAAATTGTGACCTCACAAATATTAATCGACATTTAAGTCACCAAACATAAAAAATCATAAACAATTGAAGGAATGTTTAAGTTACAAAATATAAGTCTTTTCTCAAGATAATTAAACTGTCATGAATTTAATAATCAGATTCTAATGTTATTTTATGTATCAAAGTTTAAATGTCACTGCCAAATCCATGGTAACACCACACAGCCTGTGAAGTGTATTTGCACTATATTCTGCAGTAGAGTAATACAATGTGACACAACATAAAGCTGTGAGTAATTGACGAGTTAAGGTGTTGCTAGCCAGCATTGTGCATGCCTAGCCTAGTTCTAAATCTGTCTACTCGGTAAGACACATAACAGATAAATTCACATAGCTGGCCTACAATATCACACTCAACACCAGCCTACCCTACTTTTACTGACATGTCGATGTACTAGACTTTCAAGCAGTAATTTGAGGTTCACACCTCTTGCCAAGTCAAAAACTATGGAGTTAAAATCATATCCTCCTTCCCAAGGGCACCTAATGAATTTACTTGCTTAAATAATTAGTATTATTTCTTTCTTTGAACAAAATACAAAAATCAAAAGTTTTTACCTGGAAGAACCAAATATAATCAAGTTTCTTATAGCAGAACTAACCTTTTGAAAAATAAATGAAACCGTCTGTGGCAGCATAGTGTATACAATCAATATAGTAATATCATCCTATTTCACCATGAGACCAGTATTAATCTTGGTATGTGAAGGATTTGTGTAGACTATCACATTTATTTTTCGAAGGTAAGTTCTGCTGAAGTTGGTTCATCCAGGTAAGTTTAAACAAAAATAGACTCGGTAGCTCAAGTTCAACATAAGTTTTGTAAGAGTAAGACTACCAGCTACAGTACATGGTGAAAGCCTTTTTGATATTTGGCCTGTACTATTAATACCATAGCTTTGATGTTGAAAAAGACACAGTATGCTCTATTATTATTTATCATCAGTGGGGGTGTATCACAATACTAAGGTTACTATCAGGTGCTGTATAAAAAATATATAGATATATAGACTGTCTGTACAGTAGGACCTACTCCCACAAGATAAATGTGGCAAAGACAAGCCAAACTAGTCACTCGTCGCAAAAATCAATTTTTTTCGTTACTAATACAGGGCTAATGATGAAAATAAGAGCTATAAAATGGTAAAAGAATCATTTAAATCCGACATTTCCTTGTGAAGTTACAAGCGTTTAAAGATACAGATGTGTAAAGAACAATATTTGAGAAATCAGCCTTCAAAGTTTATGATTTCCGCCATTTCTTATGTAGAAATAATCACCAAATTGTTAAAATTGTTGTTTTAATATTGAAAATGGAGAAAATAACAGCATATCATGATGTATAGATATATAATAGTTAGTTAAGTGCAATAAAATTGATTTCCAAAATTTTGACATTTCAGCATGTTTTAGCCATTCTCTCTGAAACATGATTTGCGACGAGTGACTGGTTTGGCTGGTCTTTGCCACAAATACTTGTAAACACTTGTTACCAATATGACACTCAATATGATTGTAGTTGTTGTCTTTTGTTTTATTACTCACCATAGTGAAGGCCTGTGAGTGATGGTTAGCATTATGATACCAATGTCCTTGGCAGCTTGGTATATTTTACCCTCAACATCTATGCTGACAGCACTGGTGCACTCATCAAGCAGAGCTACTTTAGGCCTACAAAAAAGTATATTGTGACTCAACAATAAGTTCCATAATACTGAATACAATAAAAAAGGATCTTCAGCCTGGTATTCAACATGTTGCTTTTAACCAACTGAATCCTGGGTTCAAATCCTCTAATATTCCCAAATGTATCATGATGGGACTAATACCTGATTTAGTGTTCTCCCAATTCCAAAATTTTTACTGGTAAATTTGTCCATATAAGCTAGCTAAGCATGCGCAATGGGAGTATTGCCTCTTTTAAGTGGTGTTTAATGGCTTCAAAAAACAATATATATATATATATATAACCATAACTTAGGCCTAATTAGTGCTTGTTTTATTCTACCAACACTGTGATTCAAACAAGATGAAACTTTACATGCGATGTTGGCTTAAGCTTTACAAGGGATTCCCTATATATTTTTACTAAAACCACAATCATCTTCAATTAAAACATTATTAAATGTTGGTGTACAGTAATAGATATGCAGACAGTGATCTATGATGCAAAGCCACAGTGAAAGAATACCTTCCCCCTTGAGCATGTCTACAGATATATGCTGAATAACTTAAGTCTTAAAGGCAGTGCTGATTAAGTGAGGGGAAACTAGCTCACAAAATAAGGTGACACAAGGTAGTTTTTACCTACTTAAGTGTGATTGTTTTGCTTCGAACATTTCATTGGGGAACGACTGAGGGGGGGGGGGGAGATTTCAAAGGGGAATGTCCCCCATTCACCTCCTATATACATCACTGGTTTAACAGGGCATAATTCCAGGGTCCTGGAATGTGCTCCACAATATTACCATGGCAATCAAACACCTATGGGAACAGATTAACAAACAATAAAACAATAAAATAAATTAACCTTTGGTAGAAAAGCCTGGCCATCCCCATTCTTTGCTTTTCTCCTCCAGATAAGACGTCTTTCCAGTCACGAACAGCATCCCAACCTAAAAAGCAAATTAGAAACAAGTTTTTAAAACAATACAATATATGACAACTTCACAAATATGAAGATCAAATAAAATACTGTAGTACACTATTTGTGGACTGAAGTTTGAATTGGGTCTTCAAAGGAATGAACATAATTATGCTAATAACAATGGTGGACAAAAGAAATATAACAAATTTAAATTGACAATTACACAATTAGGCCTACATTTGAAGATATACTGTATTACATCTCATCCAGATTACTTTGAAGTATAATTTTTCAAATAGAAAAGATGAATGATTAATTAATTCAAATTTTGAAGCACAGGAATTCTGGATGGATATATTTTGCAGATTAGGAGTATTTAGTTGAACTTACAATATTCTATGATTAATTTACATTGAGGCTTATCAGTTTGAATGGATATTTTGAAGCTCATGAGTTTTGAATGAATTTCAAAGCAGCTTGTCAAAGCCATCACACTATAAAGCTCTATCCAGACTATTACACATTATTTGACAAAAAAAATGTGACATGCCTAAATATAGTCATGACATCACACCATGACCATATATAGGCACATCATGACTATATATGGCCATACAACAGTGTTTTGTCAAAGAATATTTGCATATTTGATAATCTGGACAGAGCTTAACAAATCATAATTGTGTGAACTACTTAAAACCTGCTAACTATTTCCATGTTCTGGTCAGGGCCACCATCTCGTGGTCAGGGCCACCATATAAAAGGGCAATGGGGTAAGTGGTCCCCAACACAAGGGCACATTTAAGCAATTCATCAATATTTCATTAAAGTACTTAAAATCATGGAATACTAATATGGAGTACAGCTGTACCATATTTGAGGTAGATCACCATGGGTTATCCCAGGCCCTCCCAAACCCTCTACAAAGCCCTTCCATTGTTCAATGCAGCTTAAAACAGCTACATAAAACAAGTTGAGTCTTCAGAGGTACATTCCATTGGCATCAATAAAGGTCTGAGATAGGAGTGGAACTAAATGAAATTGAATGGTAGTGACAGATAGGCTACTTCCTATGTCTAGTCTATGGCAGACAGATGTCATTAACAGATGGTACCACTCTTTATTGTATGAAAGGTAAATGAATGGTGAATGGAGATTAAAAACCACAGGAGAACATAAAAAAGGACTTAATATATTGGGTCATGAATCTGTCCAACAAGGTTGTAAAGATGGAATGGGGAGGAGATATGTAGTCCACTTTATGGCCATTAGTCTATCAACAGCAATGTGGTTACGATGTGCAATATATTGATTATGGACCTGTGGTCAGACTACAATGCTACAGCGCAGGTTTTGATTTAGTATTCTGGTTTTACCTTCATTTATTTAACTTTTTTTAAAAGCAAAGCTGGTACAATATTTTAAAATTTAATTTTCATTAAAATAATATAAAAGGTTGATTTTTATCAAATTAATGTAGGCCTACAGTTGGTAGTACTGACAATATCAAGGATAATAATATAATACTATAATATAGTACATTATAATAATAATAATAATTATATGAAGAATAATCGATATACTGTAATAATATTATTAATAATTATCCTTTTATCAATAATATACTATGTTTTGGAGACTGGTAATACATATGCAAGGTAAGTAGAAAATATCCTAATATTTACAGAATGAAAATTACAGTAGATATATAAACCTATCAAAAATGGGATCTATTTTCATAGTTCAGATTTTCCTTAAAGGATACATAGTCCCCTCTACAGTATCCGCTGTATCCTTTCTCAATTTACTGATATTAATCTTTTAGTTCTGCATATGCCTACATATTTTTATGTCACATTATATTTTAAACAAAACCGCGCCAATGTAGATTGTCCTGTTTTTGAGGAGACATGTAAGCAACATGTGGGGCATATCAAAGCTTGTAAAAAATAAATGAGATCTGAAATCCATTAAAATTAAACCATGTGTTAGGGAATAAAGCTATTAATTCATTGATTTATGATGAAGTTCAAGTAGTTGTAGTAGTGCCAATAATGATAAATACATAATAAGCCCATAATCTTTAAACAGTCAACAAAGGATCTTGTCTATACATCCTGGTACTGTACGTTAAATGCATTTTTATCAAAAGAAATTTATTACGTTTCTAACTTTATTCTTAACCTCAGTTCTTGTCCATTTCCACTTTGTATAGATTAAGATCCCCTGGATTATTTAGGGTTCCACCGGGTAGAGTTAACGTTACAAAAAATGGTTTCATTTGTCGTCTCCCTAAGTTATATAATTCTATCTGTTTCAATTCTTCCTTAGATATATGTTTTGATAGTCTTAACTGCTTCCGTCACAAATTACTACCATTTTTACTTCTACTACCATGTGAATTTCTTATATTTTTAATTATTTTTAGACCTATATTTGAATTTAATGTTATATTACTTATATAAATTTTTTATGTATCAATTTTCATGTATCAATCCTGTTATGGGCGACACTGGTCGCTGTTGGATGATGTTGAAATAAATAAAATAAAAAAAATAAAATTTTCAGAACTTATCCTGTTATATTAGGATGAAGTAGTGTTGAGTGACACTAAGTTACTCAACAAGTTCTTAGGACCTCCCAATTTAACAACAAAAAGACGACAGCAGTCACTCTTGCATAGAACCCTGTGCCTGAATACCAACAATACACAGGCTGTATAATAAAAATTTATTAATTAATTGAATTCAATATAACCTTGACCTTTGACTATTATGCATATATTATGATGATCCATTCATTAGTTTTTGCATAATCTTGCTGACAGACAGACACAGACTGAGGTGAATACATAACTTTCTTTGGCGGAGGTAATAATAGGTCTAACAAAGCAACATCAAAAAGAATTCATTTACCTCCTTCTCTGGCCACAATATGCTGAAGATGTACCAATGACAAGATAGCGTACAAGTCCTGGTGAGTGATGTTCTTTTGCTGCATGTCTTCAATAGTATCCGGATAGATAACCTGCTCGCACAACGACCCAATGGACATGTACGGTCTACAGACAGAAAGAAACAGAAGGACTGAGTGTCACACAAATCACTGCACTATGATTCATTGTCAATATAAATTAAACTCTTCACACCTTATTTAATTGTCTATTGTTTGACATTTGTTTGATACATGCAGCAAATGGAAATGTCTTCAGGAGACAGACATTTTGCCCCTCACATCACAAACTCTGACACAATCAAAGTCGATTGTGTTAGTTCGTAAAAATAAAAAAAGCATGTCAAAATAAATGTCTATTGGTTGTCAAGCACTTTTGTATTCTTTACCAAATAAAAAGTCCATAACAACAACAGTACATATTTGAATGCGCTTTTTTGTTTTCACAAACTAACACAATCTACATTCATATTGTTGTGCACTGTATTTTTATCATCAACACTCTCCTGGTTGCACTGCACCAACCTACTATCAATATTGAAGAAGATGCTGTATCTACATTGTCTTATGATTGAGATTGAAGGTGCTAAAATCCAGTTAAAGCAAGTTTCAAAAATTCAGAAAACCTCAGCATTTGATTGGCTTTACAGCATGATTTAATTTGTCTCATTTTGGCAGATATTTTCAAAAGAATCAATTTCGTTCGGTTGACATCAATAATAATAAATTCAATGGCACAATACAGACAAAAATCACAGTAGCAGTTGTCAGTCAAATTAGACATTTACACATATTTAAAAATGACAAGTAGAAAACCACCTGTTATATCAACAGAAAGTGAACCAAACATATTAGTGTATATGATCAGCCGCACTCAGTCAATAATAATAATCAGTATAACAACCAAATATTTAAAATGAGCCAATTACAAAACAATGAACCAACAGCGCATTTACCCTTAAAGTTTATTATACAAATATCTTAAAAACTAACAAGAAGAGGGAAGCTCATTCTAAAGAGAAGAGGCAGAGAAAGGCTATAGAATAGAGCAGACAAGGAGATGGATTAAAATGTGTGAGAAATAAAAGGGCCTTAAATGTTAGTATGAGAATCTTCATCAAAATGCTTTGTTAGTCAGGCAGGCAATAGAGGGTTAGTTAAAAAAGTAGCACTTCAGACACATGTATATTGATCAGTCAATCACATGCTTGTAAAGACCCCTACTAACCTCTGTGGGATGAAAAGCATGTGCTTAGGGCTTGGCCTGGTCAATTTACCCCGGTATACCGGCCACAGCTCACACAATATCCTAAATAACGAACTTTTACCGCATCCATTCGGCCCAGCAATCAGCAAATGCATTCCTTCTTGCACCTGTTATAAAAAATTCATGATTCATACACCTTTAAAGCTGGAAAAAACACTCTAGTAATTAAAATCACATTTTTATCCCAGACAGATCTGTTAATGAACATCAATCATTCAAACCCATGGGAGAAGAAAACTAAAGTTTTGTAAATGGGGGCTAGATTTTAAAAAGGCATTTCCCCCCCAATTACAAAACAATGAACCAACAGCGCATTTACCCTTAAAGTTTATTATACAAATATCTTAAAAACTAAGAGGGAAGCTCATTCTAAAGAGAAGAGGCAGAGAAAGGCTATAGAATAGTGCAGACAAGGAGATGGATTAAAATGTGTGAGAAATAAAAGGGCCTTAAATGTTAGTATGAGAATCTTCATCAAAATGCTTTGTTAGTCAGGCAGGCAATAGAGGGTTAGTTAAAAAAGTAGCACTTCAGACACATGTATATTGATCAGTCAATCACATGCTTGTAAAGACCCCTACTAACCTCTGTGGGATGAAAAGCATGTGCTTAGGGCTTGGCCTGGTCAATTTACCCCGGTATACCGGCCACAGCTCACACAATATCCTAAATAATGAACTTTTACCGCATCCATTCGGCCCAGCAATCAGCAAATGCATTCCTTCTTGCACCTGTTATAAAAAATTCATGATTCATACACCTTTAAAGCTGGAAAAAACACTCTAGTAATTAAAATCACATTTTTATCCCAGACAGATCTGTTAATGAACATCAATCATTCAAACCCATGGGAAAAGAAAACTAGAGTTTTGTAAATGGGGGCTAGATTTTAAAAAGGCATTTCCCCCAGAATTCTACAAGGATGAAGTGCAATTGATATGATCAATTTTTCAGTTCACACAAGTTTGACATGACTTCTAAAATTTTAACTTTTCTCATGATGTTAAAAAAAGGAAAAATTCTAATACCTAATCATACAAGTTGCATTTGGTAGTTAAATATCTAGAAAGAATTTAACTATAGATATTGGTAATACAGATAAACATGGCATATTTAAAAGTTATAACAGGTGCAATGTTCAAACGGATTATAGAGATCAAATTCAGTTCATTAATGTCAATTATGCCAATATGCATCATCATCTAATACTTTTATTTACATTTTCAGATGTCAAAAACAATTCATTTACCAAATGGTAAAATGATTATGCAATCATAGCAAACACTGCTAAGTTACAGTACAACTTCGCTTCAGTATATTAGTAAAAATACAAAAAAAAAAAATAAAAAGCGCTCCAATCTACAAAATTTAATTTCATCAAATGGAAAATAATGATTTAAATAAAAATCATTGCAATCTTTGCAATCTCTTGGTCCCCAGTTCAATTCCCATCATTGCTCTCAAGTTACAGTAGCGCACTGTCTTTCAGATAAGATGTTAAGCTATTGGTTCGTGTGCATTATGGCCTATATGCATGTTCAAGAACACAGTACACTCTTTGAAAAGACTAGGAAATTTGTCTTCCGGTGTACTGCCTAATCACCACCAGAATTTGTTTCCAAGTGGCACATTTTATTTGATATTATTTATGCATAATATCATGGAAGTCGCAAGTCTAAATAAACGCATATGTCAGTTTCTACAAGCCGAACATTTTTGGCTTGATATGTGTGGTTTCTATGAGGAATTTATTACTAAAAAAGTCTCATAAAATGATTAATTGATTGTCGTATTTTTTGTGCAAAAAATTTTCATTTGTTCACATTGTCTAAACTATTCAACACATTGAAAATCACTTTTCTGGAATCTTTAGTGGTATAATATATAACAAATAAAAAAATTGACGCAGGGCCAAAAATTAATAAGGGCGTGAACAGGAAACAAGTATTTTCCGTTATTTGGCATTACAAAGAATTAGTAACATGAATAAATGGTTGTTTAGACCACAGCCGTGCCTACCTTGAATGTCAGATTTGACACTACTATATCACGATTTGGCGTTATGATGGACAGCTCTTCAACTTCAATTATAGACTTATCAGTACTATGGACCTCACCTGCAAAATATCAATACAAAATTTACTGATTAATCATGACATTTCAAATTAACACCTCCATTTATGAATTAATTGGACAATTTAAAAAAAAAATTGTTGTACTATGATAACCATATGTAAGAATTTTTAATAAAAACTTGGGATTTTTTTTTTTTTTTCCCTTTTTTAAATCAGAAAAAAATAGACAGAATTTACTCACTGCTTATGAATATTAAATAAAGGAAGTGAGGAAGTAATTCCCTTCACCTCTCATAAAACTTCATCCACATTTTTTGATTCATTGAATATTTAATTGAGTGACTTCATACTTGGGATAAATCTGAGGTTGCAAAGTTGGGTTCCTCCCTATATTTGCCCTTGTAAGTTGGCAGGTGGAAATTTTCTCCTGGGGTTGGCAGGAGGCCTTGGGATTGAAGGCTGATGGGTGTTTTGTCACTGGGGTTGACAAAAAGAACCTTGCACTTGGAGATTAGCAGGGACTAGACACAGTTCATAGTAAGTAATAATTTGTTTAATATTGGGATGGAATAAAAAAAATTGTGAAAAATATAAAATACCATTTACTTTGTGTTTGATGGTAGTAAACAGCAAATTTTCATTTGAGTTAATTATCACATTTGTGATAATTTCAAGCTAGTATTATTCATTGTGAAAACTATAAAGACTTATGAATAAATTATAAGTAGTAAAATAATTTAACCTTCTATTTCCAGTGGCCCCTCTATCTTGCCTAATGATGCGTGTTCCAGCATAGACTTGGTGGCGCTTGTTACAGACGTTCTCACATACGTACCCTCCGACATATCCTGAAACACTGTCAACATATCAGATACTCTTGCTGTGTATCCGGCGAGTTCAGTGACCTTTGTCAGATTAAAAGAGCAACACATTTTATTTTCAAGGATAAAAAAATTTGTTTTTAAATTTTAGACAGTAAGGAAATCAATAACACATGATGCGGAGATGTTTTTTTGGTTGACTCGGCTCCGTTATTCTGTGACAAAGCCTGTCCGATAGAGCATGTTTAAGTCATTTAAATACTAGGATGCGAAAACTATATCTTTAGCTGCGATAGGAATAAAGTTTAGTCTCAAATATTAGAATCATATGTGACCGGCTCTGGCAAAACCCTCCATTTGTAGGAAAAATTCAAAATTGAGTTTTTGGTGTTTTTAAATTCTGCGTGAAGTCTTCTTTAAAACAGTGTTTGTTTGATGGAAATTGGTTGAGTACTACCGAAGTTATGAATATTTATTTCATTGAATATCAGCTATGTAGGTTTTGAGAAACAGCTTCCCAAGATTCCAAAATAAATAGTTTATTATTAAGATTTGTATTTTTAAATTAATTTTAATACACATTTCAGTTAGATTTAGTGATTGATATTTTATAGAAATTTCTTCAAAATTTTATAAAATCTAAAAAAAAAAAACATTAAAATTTTCAAAATTTGATATCTCAAACGTTTTGGGTGCTTGTGGGAAATTAAAAATTGCGACAAACGGAGGGTTTTGCCAGAGCTGGTCACATATATTGGTTACATAGGTTAGTTCATGTACTTTAAGTATAATATATAGTGGGGCAAAAAAAAAAATTCAAAAAAATGTTCTCATTCCATTCAGATAGCTAGTCATGCAAGTTGTACACATTTTCATTGTCATTCTGTATAACATTCAACTATATGCAAGAGGCAGGGCTTTGTGGAACAATCATTGGCCTACTACAATTCCACATGCAGCTCATTAACTCAAAAACTCTTCTACAAGTTGAGGAACACCTGATGAAATGCAAATATTCAGTCGCAAACCAATACATACCTCTTTATAAGAGGAAAGGATTCTTTCTACAGCATCAGCAGTCGATAAGAGGAGACCCTTAGCAACAGTGAAAGCTTCGGTTCTGAGGCTGATTTCATCAGAGCCTGTGATTTCTTCACCATCTGAAACAAATAACACTTGTAAGTACAAATCATTTTTGTTAAGAGTCATTTATCAATAATACATCTTTTAAATGAGGTTTAATAAACAGTACACCTGCCAACTCTCACGCATAATGCGCAAGTCTCACACATGAGCATAAACTGTTTTAATACTTCTCATGCATACATTGTACTATCTCGAGCTGAAATTTATAATAAATTTGTCAGTAAAATGTGAACACAGGTCATATAAATTTTTTTTAACGAAGTTATACCAACTGCAAACTGTAATCCATAGTAGTTCTCCACTTCAATTAAAATAACAACATAGTCTTCTATTTTTCAATACATAGAGGGCGCTATATACATTTTTGTTTGTAACACCCATCAGACACTAACAAAGTTGGTAGAATAATATAGTTTATACATATTAGAACTGCCAACTGGTGATATTCATTTTATATAATAAAGATATAATTCATTTATTAGATATTTATAGCTTTATCTATTGTTTGTTACTTCATCCAGAGAGTATTCTGGCTATGTTCTCACATGGCAGCTAACGGTTAGCAGGATCCGGATCCTGCTAACCGTTAGCTGCCGTGCGTCCATGCGAGAAAATCCCGATCCGGATACCAACAATATGACGATTGAATCACTGGCCAATAAGAAACTGGAAATTGTAAATGCGTACATGTGATTGGTTGATGATAGAAACGCCCTCAACTTGCTAACCGATAGCGCTTGCTAACCGTTAACGTATCAGGATACCGCTAATGGTTAGCGCTAACCGATCGGGCATTCTCACGCAGGTGCTAACGGTTAGCACTAACAGTTAGCTCCCAATCCGGATACTAGGGCTCTCATGAGAACCAGACTTATATTATATGTTCATGCAACCTGCACCGCACCCTAAGAGAATCCTGGATACACCACCCTGTTTATTCATTAATATTTTTGTATACACCCAAAATATACCATACCTGGCATTTTAGGACCAGTTGCAGTGATAATAGGGATGGCTACCATGACCAGACCAGTGGCACTCCACACATACTTCATCAGGAATTGTTCAAGCATCACGTACCAAAGACGCTTGCGGAAAATCAAACGCATCTGTGAGGCTAGAGCATGGAATCCTTTCTTTAACTGGTTGTGTTCAATCTAAATATGAAAATGAATTTGTTTAATTTAATTTAAAAATATACAAAAATAACATTTTAATTAACAAAAATTGTATTCACATCCAACGGCTTTTGGCCACTACTGTATAGTAATACTAAGTCTCTTTACGAGGTTTGGAAGTATTTGTATATAGTAAATAGCTTAGCTAGAGCTTATTATAGACCATTTTATCGGATTAATTTTGAAACAGTGCCGCCAACGTCTCGCAACTCACTGGGTGACTTCCAGCGGCCCAGCCTGAGCTGCTGGCTTATTACAAGTGGAGCACCGCGCAGCGGATAGCGCTGCTAGACCTATGCTATAGCAGCAGTAGACAACAGATATGATCTTGCTAATTACTGTATCTAAACATTGAAATAGCTTTTAAAAGACATGCAGACTTGTTTTTAATAATTTCATGTTTTTTCTGTTAAAAATATTTGTGCTCATTAGTAATTTACTTTTATCGTTGATTTAATCTATGATGTTAACTACGTAGTGTGAAATGCTAGGCCTCTCAAAGTCCCCCAGTGGTAGTTTTTATTATTTTATTTAGGCACACAACACATGCACCAAGGATTGTCAATAGCGAATATTATCACTGTCCTACTTTGTAGGTGACAATCCACAAACTAAATCTCAATATGAGGTTTAGCATGGAGTCGAGTTGTTTTGGAGAAAAAATCCTGCAACTGACAGGAATTAAACCCATGACCCTGGGATTGGAAGGCAAGCATCTTTAACCACTAAGCTATTCAACTCCACTATTTTTTTGCCAGGTTATCAGAAATTTTCATTTCAAATTTCATGAAAATGGTCTATAGTATTTCGTTGCCTAACCAAGATTCCTTAAAATTTTATGAGGAGGTTTACTACGAGAGCCACAGGTCAAGGGGATGCCTAGCATAGGCTTAGCCAGTGAGCCGTCCGGCCGTCTTTTAGATGGCCTACAATTATTTAGGACGGCCACTTTTACCATGACGGCTTGGACTGCTTGGCCTAATTAGCTCGGCCTAGCCTAATTGGGCCTAGTCTACCTTTAGCAAATTCTATATATTCCTCAAATCTATCGAATGTTACATTAAACTATAAGCTAAATCATATTTACGTACGTTTGATAAAAACAACATTTATGGATTGAATGTACGTTGTTTTCATACCAACATTCGGTGGGGATTCCCAAAGGTCGGTGTGACCCCGAGTGGGCATGGCCCGCCCATCGAATCAGTGCCACACTGGCTTCTATTTTGGACGGCCTATTTCATTTTTCTGGCTTTAACCCCTGATGCCTAGGTACCCTGGGGTCAGCAGGGTGGCAGTTGGGAGGAAAAGTTTCAGTAGCATCAAAGTAAATTCATCATTTTGATGGTTTACTGCAAAGGAAGGGAAGGGCTTAAATTACTTGAGGGGTTCACTCTCAATAAAAGGGTTTGACAGAACCAGAATCCCCTACCTCCTTGATTACGAGCCTGTTGCTAAATAAATTTTTTTGGGTAGAGAGAAAATTAGATAAACATTTTTGGCTTGTCCATTATGCACACAGCATTTAGATTTGAACCCTTGATTTTATATTTGGAAGTGCAAACATTTAGCACTGCCTCCATCCGACCTTTCTTTATCAATGCTATTTTCAAAAATATGAATAATGAAACATATGTCTGACCTCATGACCTCCATAGAATGCAATCTCTTCTGCGTTAGTTATGACACGAGAATGGATGAATCTAAGTTGACCTTTGCGATGAGCCTCCTCCGCAACAAGTCTGCCAAATTTTGGTGAGGCGACACGTAAAATTTGAGCAGTTATGAAAAGGTTTATTACTCCAAGAACACGAGACACACTTGTCTGTGCATTTCCTTTGTCAGCCATCCTCATTAGTGTTCCAGACATTAAAATAACATCCAAAATTGGTTTGGTCAGATGAGAATACAGATGTGCCACCGACTGACAGAACATGGTTACGTCTTCCGTAAGATTTTGATCTGCATTCACCAGACGACTATCAAGATTACTCACCCGATAGTAGGTCTGGTTTTTAAAGTACAATTTGTAAGAATGTTCCACAAGACGAGAGCGAAAGGCGAGGCTTAAATGATTTTCTAAGAATCGGATTGAGCTGTTTATAAATGTTGCAGGAATTGCAAGCAAGAGCCATTTCATAAGGCTTAGTGCAAACTCTTTGACATTAGTTTTAACAATAGATTTCACTATGGTTCCATCCAGGCTGGCAACATATATGGATAGGAAAGTTCTAGTAACTAAAGAAGCTGTATGAAGAATTAAAATACCAAATTCTTTTGACCAAACACCTGGTATAATAATTTTAAGAAGCTTGACCAAACGCGTGTAAAATAATCGTCCAATAGCTGTTGAGGACGTCAACCTATTAGAAGAAACTTTGTCATTTGAATCATCTTTTGAAACTTGAGTACCATTCTCCTTTCGACTTTCAGATTTCGAGTCTTGGCCTAGCCCTAGGCCTCCAAGTGTGGCGTTTGCCTTGCCAGTTGCAGGGGACAAGCACGTCAAATCATCTCTGTTCCGATATCTCTGAACACCGAAGCCTACCGCCAGTGCAATTGCTACACCGCCAGCTAATTTCGGATTTTTCAAGTGTTTTTTAAACACGGATTTCAACATCCGAGACATTCTGCATGTCATATACGAAACATAAAATCCTAATAGATAAGAAATAAAGGCCCTACTTCTTTAATTGTCATTTGTTCACTAAGCAGTAACTGTCAGTGTGGCAGGTCAATGCAGGTAGGTTACGGTTGCGTTGACGGCCTGCCGGGCGTTGACGTAAGTTGACGCGAATAAACATTAGTTGACGCGAATTAGCATATGTTGACGCGAATTATCATAAATTGACACGAATGCCTAAGTTGACGCGAATTACAATTGTTGACGCAAATTGTTATGATTTCACGTAAAATGACACGATGTTACATTCAAAATACATGGAAGAGCCGTGCAACGTCACTGTTTTGCAAAGCCTAGCTGCTTTGCGAAGCGTGGCGGAGTCATGCCTCCGAGCTCGTATCACTGCTGGTCACCTGTGACCTAGAGGAGGACCTAGCCGGCTGAAGCGGCACACGTGATGAGAGTCCTTCATATCGGTCTCTAGGCTTGGGGCTAGGCCTTGGCTACTAAGTTGAGAAAATGGCAGATTTTAATGAAATTTGTTACAAATTAGATAAATTAGTTATACAATATTTTAAACTATTAGATGAAATTCATGATGATAGAATTCAATTGGAAAGTGTGTTGAAACAAGTAAGTTATAGCCATAGGAATACATTCTACTTTCTAGGCTAGGCCTAGCCTAGTCCTAGCAGGAGTAGAACTAGGGGGGGGGGGGGCTAGAAGGCCTAGGCTAGCCCTACTCCTACTCTACAGGGCAGAATGCTGGTCACTTCGGCTCAAAACCAAATCGGCCCAAACCAATTCGGCCCAAACCAACTCGGACCAAAACCAACTCGGCCCCAGACGACACTTCGGTCCAAAAAATTCGTCTTTAAAATGGGTCTAGAATATTCCTATTAATATTAAACGTTCAGTTTGTTTAATTAATTAGGGTTCATTGATTCAATAATTCTTCAATATATTATTCTTTAATTGTTCATACTGTACTTGAAGTAACTTTCTTCGTGTTCTAGTTAACCCTGTTTTATGAAAGTAATTTTCAATTACAATTCAATTTTCATCTCGGTGCCTGATATCTTCGCGGTGACAAAAAATGAGGAATAAAAAAAATCAAGTCAAGTGTCCACTATTGAAAAATTATTTGACTGTGGGGGATAGGCAAATAACATTGGGAGTTGCAGTGATGACGTCACAATTGACTTATAATGTATTTTAATCATATGTTTTTATCTTTTCAGGGATGTTTTAATCTTTCAAAAGCAAGATATTCAATGGGAAACAAAGCAGTTGGAAGTTTGCAATACAATTCCAACTCCATGAAGGCCCTGGCAAAAATCTCTATCAAGTATGCATCATTCATTTTATACATAAATTTGAGAAATAGACTCAATGTTGACGATGACGATTTTTTAACTTGCGGATGCTATGATTTTTAGTGGTTTTTAAACAATTAAAAATATATTGTTAAATTCTGTTCTACGAAAATCTCAATGTGCTTTTAAATTCAAGTGGTCACAATTAATACTTCTCAACTGTACGTACTATTATGTAAACTGCATTTTAATGTTGTTGAAAACTGCTTCGAAAAGGCATGTTTTACACTCTGAGTGTGCCACAGGCACCTGGACACTTCAGGAAATCTGGCGCTGCAGCTCAGGAGCGTATGCTGTTATGTAAAGTATTTGAAATATGTCTCTTGCTTGAAATATTCTCAAAACTATAACAAACTTAAAATGTCATGGTTTTTTTACAGTGAAGATAATGAAGATTTGTTTGAACTAACAAGAAAAAAGCCAACAAACAAGTCAGCTAGAAAATCACATATTGATATCAGTAGAGATGACTTGCTATCGAAAGAAACAACTGGTTGGTGATACCCATTTGACTACTTATATATATCTATATTAAGTTCTATTATTAATGTATTGGTATTGTATTCCTATTTTTTTTAAATTAATGATTTGGCATTGATTGCAATTTATTACAGTTCGACGAAGAAAGGGACAAAAAGAGACAGATTCAGATGATTCCGTGGCCACCTCTAGACTTGAAGAACTCACAGTGAATGATGACAAGTTATCAAGTACTCAAGATGATACTAAAAGTAATGAAGAGGTGCTATCAGATCCCATCAAATGGTTTGGTATACTTGTCCCAATGGCTCTAAGACACGGCCAGTCAGACTTTACACAAGGTAGCTATAATGCAGTACAATACAACCTTTTTTTTTCTTGAATTTTAGTATGTCACTAATGTGTAGTACTCTGTCATGATGCAGGGGCAGATCCAGTTGGGGAGGGGGGCATGGGAGGAATGTTCAGTGACTCATCTAGTGGGCGCTCGGGGTGCACCCCCCCCCCCAAAAAAAAGAATCATGTCAAAGTAGTTACGGTAAAAATTACCTAAAATCACGTTATTTTGCAAAATAGTCCCCTAACTGATCATTAATTCTGGATCTGCCCCTGTGATTTATTCAGTTACAAATACTACAAGATGTTGATTAATACAGAAGCAAATGTCCTATATATACACAAACAAGCATCATTATGCTTTATAAATGCATATTTTTATTATTTCTTTTTATCTTGCTAATTTGATGAAAATTTGTGTTTAAATGCATTGTTTTGAGAGCCATTTTCTTTTATCTTACAGCTATAACTTTATGTTGTCATATTGCAAACCTTCAGAGGAAGTTACTTGCAACAAAAGCAGAATATGAAGCTCTTTACTCTGAAAAGCAACTCTACCAAGAAAAGTCAAGTGATGCAAAGATTTCATCATAAATACTGTATGACATGGAGAGCCCAGTATGTCTAATGCAGTATATGTAATAAAGAATATTTAATAATTTTAATAGTATATGTGAGTGATTGTTGCATTGGTTGGCTTACAGGTTGATAAGTTTCAAAGTTGGAGGATCAAACTGCTCGCTTGCATTGTGTTTTTTGTCCTTTGGTACAAATGGTTACCTAGTGGTTCGACCGAGTAGCGAATGGACCTTTCCACTAAGCTCCGCCCCTTGGATTTTGTTGCTAAGGTCCCACAAGACGGCAGTGTTAAAACATACGCGAACACGTGCGTTTGTGGCACAACACGTGTGTTTGTAAGACGCGCGCGTATTCCTAGCGCTGTTCTGATTAGTCAGTTGTTAAGTTTGATTGACACTCCGGAAAGGTCTATTGAGTGGCAGGGGCAGGGCACCGCTAGCTACAGCCTTGACATTGGTGCTAGTTTGAGCTGCTCTTCCCAGGGTTTGGTTGGTAGAACCAAGTCTTCTCAGATTTAAAGACTTAAAATTGAGGTCTAGTGCACCCCTTCCCTCCTGCCTTCGCCCCAGTCATTTATCACTACTCAAGTATGTTTAAAATAATATGCTTTCAAGTTATCGTGAAACTAGACACCATAAAAGAAGCAGACCTCAGACGATTAGCTAAATATACGGAGTTTAAAATAAAAATTCATTTTGTATTGTGCAGTACATTTTTTTTTCATCTGAAGCTAGTGTAGTTATAAAATACTGATATAGTGTGAGCACCAAATTTGATGAGTATGACCAATTACGATCTTTTAAGCCAACATAAACCACTGTGTGGCATCTTACATGTACTGTACTATTTATTTATGAGAATAAAGTAAACATTTGTCAATTTGTACGATGCAAGAGTAAATTTTAATGCTATATAATGTAGTTTGCGATGGTGGTGCTGACTACGACGGAGATGACGATGATGCTGAGCAGGAGGAGCAAGAGGATGACGACGAATGTTGTATATGCCCTTTAGAACAATATCAATCGTCATGGGTTATCAAAACATCGATTTTCTAAAATAGAGCTCTAAAACTCAATACAGATTTGACAAAAACTCCTTGGTGCTACAACATTAGTCCTGCAAAAACAACTTAGTCCATTCGTTGAATTTCAAGAGGAAGGCAAGTTGTAGGCCTACTTTGGTATTTTAATAATTGTCTCGTACATACAGTAGTTAACAACCTGAGGCATTTGAAATGCGTGACTGCCTGCAT